CCCCCCCCCCCCCCCCCCCCCAGGAACGTCGCATGACTGCATTTGGATGCTTGGCAACTGGCTCTTTGTTTACGGCCGTAGCCCACAGTCACATGACCAGTTTATAACAAAATCCGGCACTTCTGCTTTTTGGCCAAAACACCCCACAGCAAACCGAGTTTGCTTCAGACTGCTGTCAAAAGTTGTAAAACCAGGTTGGTCATGCGATACAAGCATTATGACTGTCAACAATGTATGACTATAAGATAGGAAAGCTCCATTGCAGTCATAATTGGAGGACTCGCTCTAATGAAAACCTGCATGGAGTTTTGGTACTTGGTTTCAAAAGTGAAAGAATTTGGAAGGGAACGATGATGAAAACTCAACATTTCACTGGTTTTGAGCCGTCTGCTCCCAGGAGCGCTTCCCCCGAATTTCTCTGTGCCAGATTTTGTAAACTTCCCATCGCCATGGCTACAATACATAAGCAAGAAGAACTGGTTTGTGTCATTAAACCCCAATTTTATTGGACCAGGAGATCTGAGTTTGCTTGCTCAGATGCCCAACTCCCTGCGTTCTTGATGGTAGGAGCTGAATGATGAGTGAAGCTGAGGAGGTGAGTGACTGGTGCCCACTCAGTCTGTGTCAGGTACGGTTGCACCAGCAGAAGCTGAACAGAGGCCCTCCAGGTCATGGATGTTACCAGTAAGTCCAGCAGAAGTCTTGTGAATGTAGAAGAGCCATTAGATTGCAGGCTTGCTGCCTCTGGGCCCTGTGGAGGAGAGAATCCCCATAGGCTCTGTCCTAGAATCTTGTGTTTCTCCCAACCATCTCCCACTGATGGCCTTCAGGTTGAGATGTTCTCATGCCTCTCCAACAGGACCTCAGGTCGTGGTGTGCGACTGGGCATCATCTGCTTATTGATCCTACTTTGCCCTGAATTGACAGACGATCTGTCCCAGCAGCCTCATGTAGCTACTACATAGGATTAAACAGAAAAGACCAAACCCATGGGCATCCCGCAGCAGATTGCTCAGGGTCCAAATATTCCCCCTCTCCCTACTCACAGGACCTATCCATTAAGAAATAGAACCAGCAGCATAACATTGTGGATGGTCCACAAGGATACCGGGGTTGAGAAGAGTGGTCATGCTCCCAGGTCACTGTCACAGAGGTACATGAGAATAGCTGAAGGAGTTCCTGTCCCAGGCCTGATCCTAAATCCCAACTGCCCCAGATCCAGGTCATCCATATTCTAGAGGACCCTTTGTGATTGCAACAGTGATAGGATGGGAAACAAGAACCATGTTCATCATAGGCAAATGGGAAGTTCTACCCTTGGGTAAGGTAACAGAGAGTAGCTGTTTTGCCAGTGGTGTATGTGCAATGTTGGATTCCCATCAGTCACGATCTGAACATGAGTCAGCCATGATACACCATTGCCAAAGAGCAGACATGGAATAGTTGCGAAAGACTTAAATTCTGCTAAGGTTACACCCTTCCCTGCAGTGTTGATTGAGTTTTCAAAAGATGACTCCCCGTTAGCGTCCAAGTCGATCGATTACATTTTTATTACTTTATAAGTAACCCAAGGATGAACTTTCCTCCTCTTTCCTCCTATTTTCACCATAACAACCCTGGTAGGTTGGGCTGAGAGAGGGGTTGGTTCAAAATCCACCAGATAGCTTTTATTCCTAAGGCAGGACTAGAACTCGCCAACTTCTGGTGATTGGCACAAGGTCACCCAGACAGCTTGATATAATTATCAAAGGACTCCATGTCGCACAGTGAGTGGGTAAATTGATTCAAGGACTCAGTGGAAGGAGCCACAATTGTCTCCTTCCACAGCTTCATGCGGAGGAGGAAGCCTGATGGGATTTGGCTGTGGGGCTTCATGGCAGCTGCAGGGCTGCTTGCCAATCTGTGCTGCTGTCATGCTCTGGGCAAGAGGATCTGCCTCGGCTTCTGTCGGGATGTGAAAGAGTCCAGGGACCCTTCAGCAGTGCTGCTTTGGCCGAGACACTTATTTCTGCTTTTCTTTTGACAAGCAAAGAACCAAGTTCCCTTCCAAGGCATCCAAATCGCATTCACGGCACAAAATGTTGAATGAGGGTTCCTCCCAAAATTGATCCTGTGCACAGAGAATGAAAGGATGAGCTTTCCGTTTCATCTGGAAGAAAAGCTGAGAAGCAAGCAAACTTCTAACCTGTACCAACATGGGTTTGCCAAAAAGAGATGGTGCCAAGCAATCTTCATTCTTTGAAACAACTAAATTAGTGGACCAGTAAAATGCTCTGGACATAGTATACTTAGATTTTAGTAAGGCGTTTGACGAAGTAGACCACAACCTACTTCTTAGTTACTTAAGAAAAATGTAGACTAGATAGCATCACCACCAGATAGATTTGTAACTGGCTGACAAACTACTCAACGGGTAGTCCTTAATGGAACTATATCTACATGGAAGTAAGCAGTGGGGTGCCCCAAGTTTCAGATTTGGGCCCGGTACTTTTCACTATCTTCATAAATGATTTAGATGAGGGAATAGAAGGAGAACTCATCAAATTTTCAGATGACACCAAGCAGGTGTCATCTTCTTGAAAGCCTCCAGTGATGGAACACCCACAGCTTCTGGAGGCAAGTAATTGCATTGATTCGTTGTTCTCACAATCAGGAAATTTCTCCTTAATTCTAGGTTGAATCTCTCTTTAATGATTTTCCTCCCATTACTTCTGGTCCTGCCCTCAGATACTTTGGAGAATAGATCGACCCCTCTCCTCTGTGACAGTCCCTCAAAAATTGGAAGACTATCATGTCATGTGTTATGCATGGGGTTGATGGAAGAGGCAGGATACTCAAGATGGTGAGAACAGCTCTTTGTTGGTACACAGAAGTGAAGTGGCTGCCTAGGGAGCTGTCAGGCAGCTCAGCCACTGAGGTTCCTCCAATTTCCTGCCTGGAAATTGGACCAATTAATTGAAACTATTATTTTTCCCGCCTGAATGACGGACTTGGGTGAAGCCTTCTATTCAAGACTTCACTCCTCGTTAGTATATTTAACCTCACCCTAGTTCTTCTCTTTGTTAGAATAGACATTCCCAGTTCCCACAACCATTCATCGTATGCTTTAGCCTCATCATACACAAACGTTGAATGTCTCCTGTTCTTCAAGTAATTGCAGTCATATAGTTGATTACATCACTACTTCAGAAATGGGAAACGAAAATGGCCAGGACTGTCCCTCACTGAATGTGCCCACTTGACATAGTGGAAATAATTCCTGCATTCACCAGGAATCGTAAAATTGCCATTACATCAATGGCTCTTCCTTATTAATCACTCTCTATAAACTACTCCGGTTTCCTGGAGGAAAGAAGAGTGTTGCAATTGTGAGGGAAATACACCCATCCTTTTAAAAAAGTGTTTCCGTTTGTGCGTCAACCTCTGCAAGCTGGTGTCACCCCAGGAAAAGGAGAGGCAACTGTTCCTCTGGTTAGTATCTTCTCTCTTTTGTAACTTAAGCAATCTTAGCTCTCACACTTTGCCAAGACAACCTCAGCAGGTCTGCCAGACGTGAACAAAGTGAAAAGGATGTTGATCTCTTGCATCGTGAGAAGGCTTGGCTGGTCTTGATCAAAAGCTTGGGTTCCCCAACGAGATAGGGAAGTTGGTGCAGGTTTCCATAAGGCCTTGAGTTCTTTTCCATTGCATTTACCCAGAGTAGAAGAGCAATGTAGCTTTTAGAAAGAATTGTGATGGATGTCACACTGGCAAATTCCATACAATAGAGAGTAACAAAATTACAGAGCTGGAAGAGACCTTGGAGATCACCTAGTGCAACCAACCTCTGCTCCAGCAGGGGACCCTTTACCTGTCAGCTCTGAGATTCGGCTGCCAAAAATGTTACAAGGAATGAAAGGGGGGTGGAGGAGTTGGAAAGTTCAAGGTTATTTCGTACGTCGCATTAAAAAAATCCAGCTACGGTTAATTGGTTCTTGTGTTTAATGAAGTGTAAGAAGTGGGAGGAGAGAAGGTGGATTTTGTGAAACGCATTGACATGCCAGAGCTGTTCCTACTAAATCAGTTGGAGATTATAATTGTCTCAGAGTGATTGATTACCATGGACAATTTCTGGATGCCTAACATTATCATTTTAGACAAATGGCTGCCTGAAGACTTGTCTTTCTCTGCTTACTAGGGTTTTGGTGCCAGGCAATATGGAAAAAGAGGGAGGGGCTTTCTACATGAGGTCCATTTGGACCTGAAAGACTCCCACAGGTGCACCAGGGAATACGATGGCCAACTGATCTAATTTAACAGCAGTTTGATTTGGGGCTTTAAAAAAATATGATAAATGTCTCAAGGCAATAAACTGCCCAAGGTTCTTGTTTTAAAATCTTGTTGCAAATTGAAGATTTGTTTATTTATTTGTTTACATGTAGGTGCCAGCCAACTCCAGAACAACTCGATGGGTGATTATGGGGTACACAGGAGCAGACCATTATCTCTCCCCCGCTGCCCCACATCACCACCCCTGGCTGCTCTCTTGGGCCCTCCGTTGAATAAAGCCTTGGTCCTGCCCATTTTATGCATGTCAGAAAGGAGTCACAACCTCATTTTTGGGCCCACCCTGGCATGAACATAGTCTGTTTTCTTGTACAATGATCACAAGTAGAGCAATCAGTATGCTGGCAGTAGGCTAACACAACCTCAGAAGGATGGAAGGCTGAGTCAACCCTGAGCCTGGTGAGATTCAAACTGCCAAATTTCAGGCAACTGGCAGTCAGTAGAAATAGCCTGCAGTCCTGCATTCTAACCACTGCGCCATCGCAGCTCTTGAGTTAGCAAAAGGAGTTTTCCTCTGGAAGATTTTGTCAGAAGCACAAAGGAAAGGAACAAAGGAGAAGAATTCTCCTGCAAACTCTATTTCCCACCTCCAATAAACAGAATGCTGGAGCCCTTGGTGACCCTATCCATAGATGAATCAGATAGTCCTCAGCTTACAACCACAAATGGGACTGAAACTTCAGTCACTAAGCAATGTGGCTGTTAAATGAGTCATTATGTGGTTGCACTTGATTTTACAGCAATTTTTACTGCAGTCGTTAAACAAATCGTGTGGTTAACCAAACCCAGCGGGCTCAATTGGGATTACTTGTTGGAAATCATCTGGGAAGAGCACAAACTGCAACTGTGTGACTGCAGGATGCTGCAACTGTCATAAATGTGAACAAATTGCAGGCTCCCAAATTGTGAATAAGTGACCAAAGGGGTGGGGCGATGGTCATTATTCTGAGGCCAGATTGTGAATCGCTTAATCCAAGGCTGTTGTAACTTTGAGCTGTCATTAAGTGAATGGTTGCAAGTCAAGGGCCACTTGTATCCTGCTGTTCAATGTAGGAACCTAGATATTTCTTGGTTGTTTGTTCCCTAATTTAACTACTCTAACTCTCGGAGGTGTTTCCTAATATTCTCCATTTTTTTTATCCTATAAGGCCAGTGTTCCTCTGAGATTTGAGAGAACAAGCTTTGATATTTCTCTCCCACCTGCCCAGTCTTTTAGAAATGCTGAATCTCCCCTCTGTTGTCTTTTCTGGAGGGGAACATCCCAGGGGGATGCGGTGACTCCGTGTCTAAGACGCTGAGCTTGTCGATCAGAGAGGTCAGCGGTTCAGCAGTTCGAATCCCTAGCGCCGTGTCACAGAGTGAGCTCCCGTTCCTTGTCCCAGCTTCTGCCAACTTAGCAGTTCGAAAGCATGTAAAAAACAATGCAAGTAGAAAAATAGGGACCCCTTTGGTGGGAAGGGAACAGCGTTCTGTGTGCCTTCAGCATTTAGTCATGCCGGCCACATGACCACGGAGACGTCTTGGGACAGCACTGGCTTTTCTTTGGCTTTGTAACAGAATGAGCAGCTCCCCCCTAGAACTGGAAATAACTATCACGGATGCATGAGGGGAACCTTCACCTTTCACATCCCAGAGTCTTCGAGCAGTCCTTCTTCCTGACTGTCAAGGCCTTTCAAAAGTTTCAAGATGACGTGATTTCACTGGCTCAGTTCGCTCCTCTTGCTTTGCAAGACACTTAGTCTCTTGCGAGATTCTTTCAAAAAGAAAATAAGGAAGGAAGAATAATAAAGCTTAAAGGGGAAAAGAAGTCACGCTTACTTCACTCCTGGTCTTCAGAGGGGTGGCATCTCACCAGCGGAGAGCAAGAAAGTGGCAAATAATATGGAAAGATGGGCCCAGCTGTGGATTCTGAGCTTGGTGGTTGTTGTCCCTGGAAAAGGTGAGTTCAGAAGCATGACTTGGTCCTACTTGACAAGAGGGTCTTCTCAGGTCTAATCTCTGTCTAGACCCTCAGGTTTCATTCTGTGAGTTCTACTTCTGGGTTTGTTTTTTGTCATGGCACGTAAAGAAAGGATTTCCCACAAAGTTACGTTGCTGAAAACATAAAATATCTCAATACCTGATAGGCAGTTTCAGGATTTGCTTTTAAAAGCTGTATCCAGAAATTCTCCAGAAATTCTACATGAGGAACTTGTTGGTAACGTGAAGTCAACAGAAATGTCCATCGGTCACCCCGTCTCCCTTAATGTCAGTTCAAAGGCATTCAAAGGGGCAACAGAAGGATTCTGGGCTGATCCTGTACTTGGCTTGCAGAGGGGAAGTCTTCGCTGACTGTGGCACAGAAGTCAGGCAGGTGTGGCACCTCCAGGATTTTGATGGAAATTTCTTAGGTTAATAAAAACCTGCTGAGTTTTGGAAAGCAACCAAGATTGTTGTTTTTTTTTAAATGCTCACTCCAAAGTTGAGTTGTAGTATAACTTCAGTTTAAAACTTTTACTCTGAAGGTTAAATCTAGCATATGTGTACCTTACGGTGAAATATCGATGCCATTCAGATAAGTCCAATTTCACTACAATATCCCACTTTCTGCATCCAACCTAAATTAAAGGAATCTTCCAGTGAAAAAGTGTGTCTCTTCTTGAGGTTCATGGAATCAAACCAAAATTTATTCATGAAATAAGCATCCCACTTCAGCAATGGGTTAGGCAGACTCCTCATTTCACAGTAAATAGCAATAGCACTTAGACTTATATACCGCTTTATAGTGCTTTCCAGCCCTCTCTAAGCAGTTTTACAAAGTCAGCATATTGCCCCCAACAGTCTGAGTCATCATTTTACCCACCTCAGAAGGATGGAAGACTGAGTCAACCTTGAGCCTAGTGGGATTCAACCTGCCAAATTGCAGGCAGCCGGCAGTCAGCAGAAGTAGTTTGCAGTACTGCACTCTAACCACTGCACCACTGAGGCTGTCTATGTTCTCTCTATGTTTCAATTGCCTTATTGAGTGCAGCGTTGAGTTTTTAAGGGATGCATTTCACTGCCATGTATGACTACAAAGACAGCGGGGAAATATGTGAATGACTTGACTTGCGATTGGCCACCTGCTTGACTGTTACTGATGACATACATTTATGATGGTGGAAGTACCATAGTCCTAATTTAGAGGGTCATTGATTGACAGGTTTTTATCTATATTGCAGAAAGATGAAAGTTCCTTTGTTCTATAGCTTTTGTTGTTGCTGCTGCTGTTCCTTGCACTCCCTAATTTTGCCATTTACAACCTTCCCCTCTTTTTTTAATTCCTTTTCTTTGGTTTTTGTATTTTATATATTTTTTGAAATTTAATGAAGTTTTGGTAAAATATCTCCGGAGCTCTATTTCATTGCGGGCTGCAAAACCTGACATTATTTCAGCCATAACTTCCCCTGCTTGGGGGGGGGGGGGGGTATGAGGCAACACAAATGCCAAACGATATCATGGTTTTCATAGCTGAATTAATCAACTGAGATATTTCTGTTCTGGTAGGAAGCCTATTTGCAACACAGAACTCCTACTTAAACCCAATTAAGATGGACAAATTTGAAACACACACAGAATAGAATAATAATATGTAATGTAATGTAATGTAATATATTAAACTCCTGGGAAGTGTGCAGAGAAGAGTAACAAAGATGATAAAACGCTTGGGGCCTAAATCGTATGAGGGAGCTAGGTATGTTTAGCCTATGAAAGAGAAGGACTGGGAGGGGGGGGCATGATAACTGTTTTCCAGCACTTGAGGGGCTTTTTCAGAGAAGAAGGGACTGTCTTATTCTTCAAAACACTTGAAGGCAGGACAAGAGTAATGTGTGGAAGCTTCTTAAAGACAAATCCAACCTAGAAGAGACATTTTCTGAGAGTGAGAAGGATTAATCAGGGGAATAGCTTGCCTCCTCAAGCTGTGGATGCGCCACCACTGGACGTTTTATCACCCCGTGATCGGGATGGTCCAAGCTTTCCTGCCTTGAACAGAGAGCTAGGCTAGATGACCTCTGAAATCTGTCATTCTATATTCCAAACCTGGAAGGTCTCTGGATGGGGCAGAAGAGGGTCCTCCCTCTTACCTCAGTGTCTGCAGACTAGAATCTGACCTAGTTGCTATAATAAAAGAGACCATGGAGGAATGAGGGCTGCGTCCCTCACCTGCATCGTTCTTATTATAACAGAATAACAGAAAAAGACCTTGAGGTCTTCTACTTCAACCCCTACTGAAGCAGGAGGCCTGACAAACGGGTCAGGTCTAATCTCTGCTTAAAAACTTCCAGGGATGGAGCAGCCACAACTTCTAGAGGCAAGATGTCCCACTGGTTAGTTGTTCTCATTAACAGAGAGTTTCTCCTTAATTTTAATCTCTTATCTGTTATCATACCATCTGCTACTTCTTGCCCTGAGGTGTTTTGGAGAATAGGGGCAGCCCCTCAAATATTGGAAGATGCTATCACTTCACCCCTAATACTCCTTTTCATTTAGACTAGATATACACAGTTCCTGCAACCATTTTTTGTATGTTTTAGCCTCCAGTTCTCATCATTCTCAGTGGTCAATGTCTGGAACTCACTACCTGACTCTGTTGCCACCTGCTCAAACCCCCACTCTTTTATCCTCACGCTAACCTCTATCGACCTCACCCCATTCCTAAGAGGTCTGTAAGGGGCGTGCATAAGCGACAATTGTGCCTACCGTCCCCTGTCCTATCGTCCCCAATTATTAATTCCTATTTCAAGTATTTAAACTTAAGTTTATTCTTATTTCTATTATATTGTAAGCGTTTAAACAAACAAACAAACAAATAAATAAATCCTGTCCTTGGCTGGTCTGCAACCATCACTGCCCTTGCACGTATAGAGGAGGGGCCGTTTGGCCAGGGTTCTTCCTTTGGCTTAAGGGGAAATCAGGCAGAAGCCAATTTCCCCTGATTTCTTTGGTATGGGCACCAACTAGAGAGAGATCTGACAAACCGAAGGCCCTTTTGGCGACTGTGGCTTTCTCCGAAGCCTTCCTGTTCTCTGAGTGGCTTCCCAGGAGCTCTTCTTAATGTGCCAGGAGAATCTCCCTTTCTCTGACCAAGTTCCCAATACAGGAGTGCCCCCTCCCCCACACAAGAAAGAAAGAAAAGAAAGAAAGAAAGAAAGAAAGAAAGAAAGAAAGAAAGAAAGAAAGAAAGAAAGAAAGAAAGAAAGAAAGAAAGAAAGGGGCCTGCATAAGCGCACCAACGTGCCTACCATCCCTGTCCTATTGTTTCTTTTTTTATTTTCTTATATATATCCACTTCATGGATCCATAACTACGTTTATACTTATACCTGTCATCTTATAATGGCTTGACAAAATAAAATAAATAAAATAAACAATAACTTGTTCCAGCACCCCAGTTTTTCTTTCTTCTTCTCTTCTTGCTTGCTCACAGCTGGATTTAGATCAGGAATAGGCAACCCTTTTCTGTTCAGCGATGCAGGGGTGCTGTTTAATTTTTATCCTCCGGGGTGTCCACGGGGCACAGCCACAAAAGGCAGGATGGAAGCTTGCATGGTGTCACTGAAAACTCCAACTGGCTTCTCTGTGACAAACCCTCCATGTGCCTTTGGACTCTGACCATTGCAAAATTATGACAGCAGCCACAGCAAGCGCATCCATTCCTGGCTGATTCTTGCGAACAAGGCAGGTTCTGCCAAATGCTGTAGAGGATAGGAGTTAATGGAGAGGCAGCTGGTGCCATCTGGGAGGTGCAAGGACTAAAGGGAAATGTTTGGAGAAGAAAATCCTGGCCTGACAAAATTATCCCTCTTTAGCCTGATGAGACAAACATAGTCTCCACCTGCAGCCCTTCTCGTCCTGGGAATGTTTGTTAGGAATATAAGTCACCTAACAGGTATTTGGGTTAGAAATATATAAACCAGGATAAACATGTTAGTACTATACCTTTAAGGGAATGCAAGAGCATGCAATTGGGTGTGGTTTCTCAAACGGCCATAAGATGGAGCCAGAAACCTGGGTTGTTTTAGTCTTAGTCTCAGAAGAGAGTGTGTCTGAGTGTATCTCTGTTTCCTTCTGTTGGAAAGTATTGCTGTTGCTCCATTTCTTCTAATTGACCGATATTACTGGATTTAATGTAAGTCTTACTGAACTGTTTTTTGACACTGGACTTTGATATTTGGATTATCCCTGGATTGAAAACTGACTGATTTAACTTGTGAATGGCTTTGGATTGCTTACTTTGGACTTTGCTTAAACCTTTCCGGAAGTAAAAACTTACGTTTACTGTACAGTGTATCTGTGTGCTCTGTGTGTATTATTCCAACACTACTCTCTATATCTCTCTCTGTATGCGCTCATTCTCCTAATGGGGAATTACCTCAACAATGTTGCCTTTCCCTTCTGGGGTCAGCATCTAAACCTTCTGCTTGTGTTCCTCCCTCTCCTCCCCCACCAGTTGCCCTGGATTGGAACGTCACCCAGATGGTCAGCGGGACCTGGAGAGCTCCCGCCATTTTGCCCTGCGTGTATGAACCCTCCTCTGACTTCAAGCAGCTCAAGGTGACTTGGAAGTTCTTCCAGCCAGGCGAAGCTCCTCGCACCATCCTGCACCGCGATGCCTCCGGGGACCACATCTTCTTGGCTGCTTTCAGAGACCGCGTCAACATTGCCAAGTACCCCCCCGGAGACGTGTCCCTCCACATCAAGGAGCTTGAAATGACCGACATTGGTTCATTCATTTGCTTAGTGGACTTGGAAGCCCAAAACAGGAGCAGAGTCACCAGAGAAAAGACCGTGCAGCTCAAGGTGGTAAAAGGTAACCTTAGGCAGAAACCTGTCAGTTTGGGCTGCTGGGCATCCTGAGACCATGAGGCCTTTTGCTTCATTTCGTAGCCCTTCATTTCGACTCCGTCTTTCTTTTCTGGTGTGTTCAACTTCAAAGCTATGAGAAGAATTTAGGGGAGAGAAGGATGCACCCTAACCAGGCAGCTGAAGCAGAACCGCTCTGCTTTGAATAGCCATACTGTTTATTTTCCACATGCAAAGAAAGTGGTACCTGGAGTCAGGAAAGACCCTGGCTTCTCCCTGGATTAATAAGGCCTGGGAGCAGTGGTGGGATTCAGCCAGTTTGCACCACTTCAGGAGAACCAGTTGTTAACGTTCCGAGCAGTTTCATGAACTGGTTGTTGGAAGAAATCATGAGGGCAGAGAACCGGGGGTTAAATTATTTGAATCCCACCACTGCCGGGGAGCCAGTTTTCTCTTTTATCAATGAGCTTGTAATTCCTCCTTTGTTTAGCTCTTAATTGTGAGAGGCACTTTGAGAAACCTTTGCTACTCTTCTGCTCTCTAGTTCCAGCCTCCAAGCCGTCCATTGAAGCAAGCCGCCGGGAATCCGTCCTGCCCAGTGGGACCCGGCTGAGTCTGACCTGCTCAGCCAGCGGATCTCTACCCATCTACTACCGATGGTACAAGGAAGGGCCTGGGGAGGAAGCCGAGGAGCTGCGCAGGGGCCCAGTCCTTGCCTTCGAGGGCCTGCAGCGGTCAGACTCCGCCAGATACTTCTGCACGGCAGAAAACAGGCTTAACACGCGAAAGGAGCAGAGCGACTCCTTTCAGCTGACAGTGAAAGGTGAGGCTGCTTTGGTCACTGCAAGGGAGTCATGTCACCTCAAGGATCGCATTCAGGGTTAGACGGTCCACAGAAAACCTTTCCCTAGGCCCCCACCTTTATTAAGAGGTCCAGGCTCTTAATTCTCTGCATTAATACAGAACAGGTAGTCCTCAACTTACAACCATTCCTTTAACAACTATTCAAAATTATGATGACACTGGAAAAAAGTGACTTATGATTGCCAGAGATCATGTGGTCCTGTGGTCAAAATCTGGGTGGTTGGCAACCAGCATGGACTTCGGACGACGGCACTGTCTTGGGGTCCCGTGATCTCCATTTGCAACTTTCCCACTGGGTACAAGGCACAAAGATATCAGGTGTGCCCCCGTGTCATTGCAGTTATAATTGGCACCATTAGAGGAGCAGGGTTAAAAAAAAGTCAAAATGCTGGCTACAGTCATGCAACATACCCACAAAGGTGTTGGGTTTTGATGACATGGTTGTGGCTTCCAGCTTGGCTTTGCACTGGGTACAAGGCGCAAAGATATCAGGTGTGCCACTGTGTCATTGCAGTTATAATTGGCACCATTAGAGGGTTGCTTTCATCCTTCCCCGCTGGCTTCAACCTTCCCAGCTGGCTTCTGAGTCAGCGGGGAAAGCAAAAGTTCACTTAACGTGCAAAATGCACGATTCGCTTAACAACCATGGCAAAAATGGTCATAGATTCAGGCCCAGCACACTTAACAGCCACCTTGCTTAGCAACAGAAATGGTGGTCCCAACTGTGGTTGTAAGTCAAGGACTACCTGCAGTGGAAGCAAACTTGGGTTAGATTACCCCGAATTATTGAACAAACCATCACTGGCTTGGTTGTCATCACAAGCCAAGACCTAAAGCAGGTTTAGACATCATAACAAGCTGAGTTCAGCCAAGCACTAAACCAAAAGCTATTTTCTATTTTGTGTCTATGGAGATCCTCAGCCATCATCCAGGTCACGGCTGTATCAAAGGTGGTTTTGGAAGAGGCAGCTGGACTTCCTGATTTTTCTTGAGGACCTTTTGCTTCTCAGCCAAGAAGCGAAACAGAGAAAAAACCAGAAAGTCCAGTTGCCTCTTGGAAAACCACCTTTGGGACTTTCTGTTTTGGGTAAACCACCTGCCGCTTTTCAACCTTTCTTTATTTTCCCACTGGTGCTACGAGTGGACGCGAGGCATACGTGGAAGCAGCGGTTCAGAGACAGGGTTTGTTTACACTCTTAGGTCTGCATGTTCCCACCTCAGGAGCTCAAGCAACGGGCATAGTTCCTCTTCCTATGTTTCTTTATAAGAGGCAGCAGCGAAGGAGGTTAGTTTAAGAGGCCCCAAATCTTCCAGGGAGTTTCTTTGGCTCCGAGTGGGCTTGGGTCTCTCGGGGCGGGTCCACCATCTGCACCACTGCCACGCTCAGTAGCTGCTCCAACCATTCTACTCTGCTGACTTTTCCAAAAGCGCCTGGAGGACAATCCTCTGGAATAAGACGGCCACCATTTCTGTGGTCCGCAAAGAAGAAGGGAAGGTTGAGTAGGAGGTAGCCTTGTCTGGCTACTAGTCCAATGGAGCATTTACCAAACTATACCAAAACTCATCTCCCATATTCGGAGGGTTTGGTATCTCTGAAGATGGGCCACCGTTGAAAGGTCTGAAGGGAAAACAAATCAGTCAGAACAGATTATGGGGTCTTGCAGTCAAATCAGGGTGTTTTAATTCTTTCTTCTTCTGGGATCAGGGTTTTGGAAAGGAGGCGGTGAATAAACTCAAGATGATGAGCACAACCACACAATTGAAGACACGGCTTTTTGTGACAACCCACGGAGCAAAGAAACCAATCGTTGGTTGTGGTGGTTGCAGTCCTGACCTTGGATTTTTGCCCCTCCCCCGCAGGCAGCCATCTTTGGCTAATGGGTCACCTTGGTCTTCCTACTACAGTGGTAGGAAAAGCCTTCGCCAAACCGTCCATTCCCCGAGGGTCTGCCCAAGTGGCCCAGCTCCTGGGAGCCCTGAGGGCGGGACAGTAACTCTGCTGCATTTCCCTTCCAGATGCTTCTGAAGTCTCCACTGCAGGACCAGCTGCCGAGTCAGGGGGAACCTCAACAGGTGGGGCGATGGAGGTGTGGGCGTGGGAGGCAGGGGGCCCCGCTGTCCCTGGAAGCCCATGCGGCTGATCTTGTGTCACGCCAGGCAGGTGAAAGGAGTGGGGGCAGATTTCATCAAGCATTTGACTCTCGGTCCCAAGGGCACCCTAGTTTCTTCTATCATTCCTGTCTCCGGCTCTATAAGGGAGGCTCCCAGCTATTTGGGGAGGTGCTCAATTGATCTGCATTTCCCATCCTGGCAGTCTGGGAGCAGAAACCTCCAGGAGGCCTGAAATGACCCACCCCAGGACAGGTGAGGGACCACAATCCTTCCCCAGCCTGGTGTTTCCACAGCCCCAACGCCACTGGTGGCCAGCTGGGAACAGGGGTGCTTTTGGGTCAGATACCTGGAAGGTGAGACAGAGCAGGGTTAAAAAAAAGTCAAAATGCTGGCTACAGCCATGCAACACACCCACAAAGGTGTTGGGTTTTGATGACATGGTTGTGGCTTCCAGCTTGGCTTTGCACTGGGTACAAGGCGCAAAGATATCAGGTGTGCCACCGTGTCATTGCAGTTATAATTGGCACCATTAGAGGGTTGCTTTCATCTTGTATCACCATCACCTCATCCCCCTCCCTCCTGGGACACCAGTTTTAGATCAAGGCTGGCTTGATTTCTTTCACAGAGTAAAACGAAATAACAATAATCTCACACTGTGGATCATCAGCTGATGTTTATTTTGGTTAATGTAGTTTAGAACTTCCACAGGGATCATTTCAGGCAGTGTTTCTCTCAATCTTGGGAACTTGAGGTTCCCATAATTCCCCAGCTGGTCCACCCACCTGACAGTTGCTCCAACTGAGAAAAGCTGAACTAAAGAATGTGGCCTCCAGTAAAGGTGCTGCCCTGGATGGGTCAGGGATCTGCTCCCTGGTTTGCTACGGTTTGCAAGAGAAATGGGCGAGAGGATTCCTTGGCTCGGTGGGAAGGTCAGTGGTCCCACAAATCCATGCCCAGCAGTTCCTGGGAGCCAGTAAGAGCGAGACTGGGCCTCTCCCTCCCAACCTGCATGGCATGGATTGTGCTAGAAGGAACAGGCATCCTCCCCTTCAGGAGTGGAAGTAGAGTTTGCCCCTGTGAAGGGACGTGATCCATTTATATCCTCCAGATGTGACCTTCAAGGCACCTGCAGTCAGCAGTGAATTGCAGATGAGCCCATACTTTGCATGTATGGGTGACTCTGGACTCCACTGGCTTTGCCCAACAGCCCTGCCTGGATGCTTCTGCTCTCAGAGTGGGCCATGGTGGTGGAGCAATTACTTTTCCACCAAAAAGGGTCCTTTGGAGCAGACCATCCCCAGCTCTGTGGGGTGGGGGGCATCACCTTGGCACTGCAGGTGGGGCAACGGGTACAAAGGCTTCCGTTGCTCAGCCTGGATCTCACTGGCTTTAGATCCTTCCTGCTAACTTGGACTCTCTGGCTTCTCTTCCAGGCAGAGTGGCGACTTCATCCACAGCTTTTGGGGACTCTCCAGGACAGCAGAAGGAAAGTAAGAAGAAAGAAAGGCTGGAGGAGGTCCCTGGAGGTGAGAAGAAGACAGGTGATGAATCAGAGCAGCATTTTTCAAACTCAGCCACTTTAAGATGTGAGGAGTTCAACTCCCAGAATTCCACAAATCCTAACCGTGGCTGGGTTTGAAAAACTCTGCGCTCTTGATCTACTGCTGGCTGTGAGACATCAGGTGCAAATTTGGTGGCAAACTACAAACATTCCTTCTCCCTCTCCTGTTTGTGGCTAATATCCTAAAAGGAAAAGAAAAAAATGACATTGACAATTGTAGGCTATCCAGGATGCCCTGAATCTCAGCTTTATAGGATCCACTTAAGATCATTAAAAAAATAATAATAGTGGGCTTCCGGTTTGAAGTCTCTTCGGTGACAGACAGAAATCCGCGATTGTGTGTGGTTTTGGTCTGGGCTCGCCGCTGGAGCTTCCCGAGCTGGCTGGTTTCAGGGCTAAGCCACCCCATAGAGATGGTGAAGAGGGGGGAGACTGCCAACAGGGTTGAGGAGAGCCGCATCTCTCCTCCTCAGCTGGCCATTACTCCCCTTCCTGAAGGTGGTTGTAGTGGTGGTTAGAAATGGCCATCACAAAGAAGAACTCAACCAGAAAAGAATGTGCAGGAGGAAGATAAGAAGTGAAAGTTTTGGCTGACTGGGTTAAATTGTAAAAGCAACAACTAAGGTACCCTGGAATTTAAATTTACAAAAGAATAACATTGCTCCCAAAGAAGAGTCGGAAGCAGTGAAGCAAAGTGAAACGGGAAAGGTTTGATTTTTTTTACTTCTCTCCCCTTCCCTATACTGATAACTAAGAGACTTAAATTAGAAATTGGAAAAATCCGCTTTGACATCAACAGGCAATTAAGCTGAAAATAAAACAAAATGTCAAAGGGATAATAAAGATTTCTGGACACTAATTTTTTGTTCATAAGCAGGAAGGGAGAGAAAAAGAATAAGGGCAGGATCTGGAAGAGGGAGGAGACTGCCTGGAATTAAAAATAATCTACAGTAAAACTTCAATAAGACTTCTAAAAGATACATTTTGACTGAAACTTGGTAGCTAAACAGTAACCCCAGGAAGAGAAAGTGAAAAAAAGAGCAAAAAGAAACAGCCTGCATGTATTTGGATTATCTGGTGATCGTTGGATTCTTGGTTATTACATTTGAATGACTAAAATTAATCGGGTGGTTGTTTAAAAATTTATACAATGGCATCACTTCTAGATGAATTGAAAATGGAGCTTAAAAAGTACAAAGAAGATGCACAAGAAAGGAAGGGTTCTTTTGGCTTCGTTTTTCAATTCTTAGAAATGCAGATTTGGAACTATGAGAAACAACAAGAAACATCTGTAAAACAAGAAGACTGGGACAAAGAAGAAGCCATCTTTAATGAACAAGTAATTTTATGTGGGGAAGAAAAAGGAAAGGGGGGGAAGAGAATGGAGAATTTAAGACTTAAAAAAACAACCAAGAAAAGAAAAATAATTTGAAAAATAAGTATAATACTGGAAAGCAACAGAAAAGGGGAATACAGAAGCGAGAAATAGAGGTAGAGAGACAAGGGGGTAAAAAGGGGAGAGAGAAGAAGAGAGGGAAGAAGGAAAGGAAAAGAAGTTACAAAGGACCGGAACAAGATATAGAGAAACAGGACCTATTTAGAGATAATGGGTGAAAATCTAACTGAAAAAGGGATTCTTGTAAAGGTACATAAGATTGTATTGTTATATTAGTAATAGAAATAACTTTAGAAAATTGGAAACAATGTATGATTAAAATGAGGGATAAAATAGCTAGTGTAAATTTAGTGAAATGTTTGTGAATAAAATAAGTGAAATAAAATAAATGGGTAAATTGAATTAGGAAGGAACGGGAATATCTTAATTAGTTAATGTTTTATAAAATATAAGTGAAGGGGGGGAAATTAATGATGGAAAGCTTACAATTGTTCCCATAGAAGTATGATATTTAATTGAAAAGTAATGGTAAAGAAGTTAAGATTTTAATGAATATTAATATTAATGATAGAATTGAATTGGAATGGAATGTGTTGTTTTAATTACATACATTTATAATTTTTTTCTTTTTTTAAGAATATAGTGTGTATTTTAAGAATGTACCAAGCAGAATCCGAATGGAAGTTATGTATTATATTGAATGTTATAACTTTAGGGTATATATTGAAGCCTAAATAAGAGTTAAATGGATAAACTTAAAAGATATAAAGGCGTCATACTCCAACTACAGGAGAAATTTTGTTTAATGAGAAAAGATAATAGATAATTGAAACAGGACAGACAAAAAATATAAATATAATGATTTGAATTGAGATGAGATAATTAAAATAAAATTGAGAAAATTAAAAGAGGGGAGAAGCTATGCTGAAAATGTAAAAGATATGGAATAGAATATAAAAATGAGCATGAAGTCGAATTTGTGTCTGTACGAAGAAATGTAACCCAGGATTATGCTACTTTCAAAAAAGATGTTTTATTTGTATTTTTTTTTCTTTGTGAAAACTCAAATAAAATTTACACACAAAAATAATAATAATTAGAATTGCAAGGAGAGTTTACAAGGCAACATTAACATCTGCAAGACGGATGCAGCGTTGTACAGTGATTGAAGTCTGATGTTTGCATGGGCATGTGACATAAGGCTGGGCATCAGTCTCGGTGCCAGTTTTAATAGTCTCTGCAGATCCCCCTGGAATGGACCATTTTGATTCCCTTTTTTAAATCACAATTTTGCCATCTTTGAACTTTCCTACACAATAACTCCAGAGAAAGAGTGTGCTTTTTTACACAACAACCAATAGACCTCTGACTATTTATTTTCATTTTTTTTAAAAGTCCAGGGCAATAGTGAACATAGGTAATGGAAAAAATGCTAGGGCTACAAGTAAAATGTAGATTTTAGGGTATTTTTAATCCTGGTTTGTTTAGGGGGGTAACTATGCAGCTTGCTTAGCTTGTGCACAAAGAATCTGATGATTCTTGAAAGTTCTTATTGTTCTCCTACACAAAAGGAGGGATGGCAAGAATGAATGCAAACACTTCAGGGAGTTAGTATGTTACAAGAATGTCTGCAGAACTCAGTCAAAAAAGCCAAGATGGTGTAATGGAAGATCTGCCAGTTTTATGTGTTGTGCTGTCAAGATTGAACCGCTTTGCTTCTTTCAAACCTTAATGCTATTCAACTTGCCAATGAACTGGGGGGAAGGAAGGGTGAAAGGGAGTTCTGAGTAGGTGTGCATGGACCGCGAGAGCCTGGCAACTGAGATCTTAACTGGGGCTTATTTGGGGGGTAGGGCTTATATTATGAGCACCCTGAGAAATCCTGCTAGGGCTTATTTTCTGGTTGGGTCTTATTTGGGGGGAAATATAGTATCAGGTGCCCAATGCATGAAATAGCTTCCTGTCTCTTCTTCCAGTTGTTACTCTGAGTTGCAAAGATGCCACACCAAGCCTCAGTTGCCCTCAGGCTGCTATAGTGCAGGTCCCTGTTATTATTAATAATCTCTAAAGTATACCTGATACTTCAAGTCAAATGGCCGATCAACAGTAGATATCAGCTGGGCTTACTTCTAGGAAGAATGGTTTAAGACTATGACATGTACGGACCATGTTGGTTTGCATCGATTATCTTAAAGATGAAAGGTCCAGGGAAATTTGATAGAATTCCCCATTTCTGCTGTGTCCCTTTAGCTCCGAGTGCCCAGAAGACACCTCTGCCACTGTATATCATCATCCTGATCGCTGTGCTCTCTGCAGGTTTTATCCTTATGGTCATCTCTGTGGTTTTCTGCAGAAGGAGAACTAAGAGTGGTGAGTTGCCGGGTGCTCATTTGCTCGGATTGGGGATCAAGGGATAATAGTTGAACAACTCGGATTTAAGAACCAGAAGGCTAGAGCAAATTAGGAGCCGGATTGTCAGCTTTGGAAGCCATAGTAGCACCATAATAGTGCTAATAGTGAATTTTTAGACAGCACAGTTTAGTATTTACAGACTAAATTTAAGATTGCGAATTCTGAATTCTAGAGAGGAAATCTCAAAGGTAGAAATCTACTGTTTTATCCCAATCCTGAGATTTGATTCCAAATGCTCGTGGTGGTGGGTAGAAACCAGCTTATAATGATGTGAGCGAACAGTTCAAGCAGGCGAAGTGAAATTTCAAAAACATACTGTAGAACATAGAATAATACAGCTGGAAGGGACCTTGGAGGTCTTCTAGTCCAACCCCCTGCTCAAGCAGGGGACTCTATACCATTTCAGACAAATAGCTGTCCAATCGCTTCTTGAAAGCCTCCAGTCAGTGATGGAGCACACACCACTTCTGGTGGCAAGCAGTTCCACTGGTTAATTGTCCTCACTGTCAGGAAGTTTCTTCTCAATTCTAGGTTGCTTCTCTCCTGGGTTAGTTTCCATCGTTGTTTCTTGTCCTGCCCTCTGGTGCCTTGGAGAATAGGCAGCCCCACAAATATGGGAAGACTGTGTTGTCGTGTCAGTCCTGGTCCATCTGACCACAGTGTGAGAGCAACCAGGGTATAATGTTAATAAAACATAAGCACAGCACCCAAACTCTGCCCTCAAGGACAACTTTAGGAGGCTGCTGGGCCTTGATCAATTCAAAACAGGACACAATAAGAGTTACCATAGAAACTGTCCATCCAGATCTCCAATTATCCAGTTGTTTTGTTTTGTTCTGTTCTATTTCATTCCCTCTTACTTTCTTTTTTTCTCTATTTTTACAGTTTTGTACTTATTTTTTTAGTTTAATGTAACTTTGTTTTAAGGAAATAAAAATCCATTAAAATGTTGTTTCTTTTTCAGATAATCTTTATCAAGTAACATAGTAAGTAATCATCTCATCCTGGGGTTGCAATAGTGAAATGTGTTGACCGAATATATTCCAGAGGGCTGGGTGTAAATGACCGACTTCGGGTGCAGAACGGAACTGCATAGAAAGAGCCTCTCAAATGCCTGGAAAAATAATTCTGCCTCCGTGAATTGCAAGTGATCCCCTGTCCTCATTAAGCAAGCAGAGTTCATGCAAGACATTAAGGAACAAAGAGGGAAAAAAAAATCAAACCAGTCAAGCTTTTGCATCACATGAAAATTGGACAATGTGGGATTTAGTTGACTTGGGTTAAGAATGTTGTGCAACACAGCCACGATGACAGCCACAGTGATATTGGTGCTAAAAAGCTGACGGGCGTTTTCTAGCACAATCTCACCAGCATCTCCCGGGGTGGGGCGGGGGCGGGGGGGGGGGGACGACAATAACCCAAGAGTCACAGATTTCGCCCTTTTGTGCAAGGGATCATTGGAAGAGGCAGCTGTCTAATTGCAATTTTTTGCAGAAGAAGGCAAGGCAGGCTGGTTTGGGTCTGGACTCAAGTAACCATACGTCCAGCAGTGTGTCTCAGATGTGTCAGTCACTTGAAGAAGTGTGAGCTTTCTCAGCATGCTGGGTGTTGAAGTCCACACCTCTTAAAGTGACCAAGGAGGGGGTTCACTGTGCTAGATGCCGCATCCATTCTTGCAGTGAACCACAGCCTAACCATACCACCCCCCCAATCCCAGGCTTATTTATTTATTCTGTTATGCCCCTTCCTTCTGGCCTTCATCTAACCTCTGGTGTTCGAGTAAGAGAGGCTTATGTTGTCCTTTGCTGAGCCACCTCTGAGCAGGATGAGCAGTGAGGGAAAGCAAGCAAGCAAGGTAGCCGTTGCATGGTAAATGCAGCCGGGTTCTCACCCACCGTTATGGGGTCTGAGGGTGACTTGAGAAGACCGTATCTCCCCCCACACACATTTTTTATCTCCTCGGTACAAGCTTCTTCTTCTTTTCTCTTTCTCCTCTGGTTGCCCCTGGGTGGGAGTGGGGTTTTTTTTGAGAGGAAGAGCAGAAGGCAAGTGGGATCAGGTTGATTCGTGCTGGACAAATGTCACCAAGTTACCCTTTGTGCTTTTCAAAAGCAGAACTGCGGGTCTCAAAATAGATCATGTTCTCTGAAAGGCAGCTGATCACTGAGCCAGGCAGGCTAGTTGCAGGGGCAGCAAAGGGGAATCTGTCTGAGTCAGCCCTGTGAACATGGTGTTGCGCAAAGGCATCTTTCGCTTGCGTTCTTGGCTAAGTGGAACCTCCTGCTTTGCGTGCCTAATTTCACCACAGTCTATCTGTTTCAGCAACAACAATGCCCTCACCTTGGAGGGCAATGAAGCCATCCCAGCCAGTCCAGGAGTCAACAACACCTGCCTGTATGAGGCACCAAATTCTACTTTCGGCAACAACTACACTATGGAGCCGACCAAAGCTGCCGAGTACGTGACAATGGGTGAAAAGGTGGACAACGAATATGAGATCCTGGTAATTGACAAGCAGCTGGGGAGGTGATGGGCAACCTGGAACAGGGAAGGCTGCATCTTGCGCTCTCTCCGTCTCCAAGAGCCGAGTGTTGAAGGACGTTCCTCTTGGACCCTCCACGTATCAACTTGCCTTCTCCCGCCCTCCTCAACCGGTGGCCCTCCTGTCCAGCCTCCCAAAGGGGCTTCTTTCAGCCCAGCAATTCCCCCCAGTCAGCAGTAGCCCCTTAGACTTTTCTCCCTGCCCAGGAGCAGCCGATGCTGGGACAAGCAGGGCTTGTCTAAAATAAAAAATATTGACACTAAAATGTGCGTGTATTTGGTTTTCTTGTTTGCAGTTGTCTAGAATACACTTTCTGCCCTCTTCCATCTGATCAAAAACACATTTGTCCTAATAAAAGCACTTTTCTGTTATAAACCTTTTGAACTGATGAATCACGTTGCAAAACGTTGGGAAATGGTAGCTTGGGGATTATTGCTCAAATTAAGATTCTGTGATGTTTCATAAAGGAAGAATGAATTTAGTTTATTTTAAACAAGTTTTTTCCCCTTCTCTAATTGGCAGACAAATACGGTAGCCTTTTTTCTGTCCTATATTCAAATATTTTCCTAGGCTTGTTTTTATTCATTGGCCTACATATTTTAAAGCAAAATAATCTAATATTGACTAAGGAAGGAAAAATTGTTTGTAGGTGTATGGACTTCAACTCCCAGAATTCTTCAGCCAGCATATTGTTTGTAAACCACCCAATCGCTTATGTAAGAGAGGTGGTGCAGAAATTTGATCAGTAAATAAAGGGAAGAAGCACTTCTCGACAGAATGGCAAAGCAGGGCTACATGCAGGCACCTTTTGGATTAATACGAATTGGATTCCATAGTGTTGGTGTTGACTGAAGCTGAGTCTCTTAGGGTTGGGATTTGATGAGGTGAAAGCAGGTAGCAACCACTTGATAAACACAATGGACAGGGATGACCGTGGGGGTTTTGTATGTAGGTGTGTTAAAGGGGTGAAGTTGAGGCTTCAGCTGCACCAATCAAAGCCTGGCCCTTTATTAGAGGGGCTGTGATCAAAGCTACACTCTGCTGGATATCCATAAAAAGGAGAGTCAGGGTTTTGACTGCAGCTGGAGCCACGCTTTGGGCTTTTTAAAGCTGCCGCTCCCCATGGATGTCCCAGTCTTCCAAATCAATCAGGCCTAGGCTCTTGGGTGTCGGTGGCTTGGCAACCATGGGAAGGGGCTTGTGTGGTAGTGCTGATGTCCTTCTTTCTCCTTTGGCAAGTTCACTGCCCTCCTGCCAATCCTTTGGGAGAAGGACAACAAGGTCTCTACACTTAATGGGTCTCTAGTCAGCTGTGCTCTTGTTCCCCTTGGCACAGACCTCCGTGACAACCAAGAAGGTTGCAAGAAGAGGTTTGGAAAAGTTGAACTAGAGCTTGGTTCCTAAAGGACACAGGATTCCCTGGTCTGAATCCTAAGTGTGAAGTGTCTGTGGACAATTCTCTCTTCCAAGCCAGCCGGGGCTGAAGGCTTCTGTGGACTTTCTTTTCAGGGAAGGTGGGCGAGGCCAAAGCAAAGGCTTCATGTGATCCCATTTCATCCACTTTCAATATTCATATCATGAGAATTTAAATACAAAAAGAACATGGAAAAGAACACTGGAAGTTAAAGGCCTTTCATTTGCCCCCTCCACTTTTTATTTTATTTTATTTTATTTGGTTTGTCAAGTGCTTACAAGATAATAGGTAAAAGTAAAAACATAGTTATGAATACATGGATACATATAAGAAAAATAAAAGAAACAATAGGACAGGGACGGTAAGCACGTTGGTGTGCTTATGCACGCCACCTACAGGCCTCTTAGGAAAGGGGTGAGGTCAATAGTAGACAGTCTATGGTTAAAGTTTTTGGGGTTTGGGGAAGAAACCACAGAGTCAGGTAGAGTATTCTAGACATTAACCATTTTGTTGCTGAAGTAGTATTTCCTGCAATCAAGTTTGGTGCGATTAACCTTGAGTTTGTATCTATTGTTTGCTCTTGTATTGTTATGGTTGAAGCTGAAGTATTCGTTGACAGGTAGGACATTGCAATGCATGATTTTATGTATAATACTTAGATTGGACCAAAGGCGGCGTAGTTCTAGGTTTTCTAGGTCTAGAATTTCGAGTCTGGTGGCATGAGGTATTCTGCAACTAGTAGAGGAGTGGAGAACTCTTCTTGTGAAATATTTCTGGACTTTCTCAACTGTGTTAATATCAGATACGTAATGTGGGTTCCAGACTGATGTGCTGTAGTTGAGGTAGTAGTTGTGGAAGTGGTTGTTGGTTTGGGATTTGATTTTGAGCTGATAGGTAGTCGTTTATCAGTGCTGTATTTTTTTTTCCAAGAGAAATTAGGCTTTCTTGTATAATTGTTTCAAAGAATGTTACTAAACGTTTTTCTATTGAGTGCTGAGTGATTCTATGCTATCAGCTCTGTCAGGCAGGGTACTTGGTTTGTTTAGCTTAGGAAAACATGATGGACATGGACAAGGGAATGTATCTGATGCTTTTAGGAGATCAGCTAGGTCTTTGTTTCAGTTTAAGCAGGCAAGGTGGGCTTGATTGTCACACAGATAGCATTTGATGTTATTTTCACTTTCATTGATGGTTTTAAGACATCTGAAGCATGTACAGTAGTCTGGGAGGTCATTGATAGAGATATTATTTTTTGTTGTTGTTTGGTAGTGGAGGATTTGGAGTTTCTGGAGTTTCTGGCTGGCATGGTCAATGACAATAGTACACTAAACAATTGCTATAGCTAATTAATGTGATAGGTAGACAGTTACTTAATGAATGTTAGTAATTAATAAGTGTTAATTGATAAGTTAGAGAACAAATTAAAAGCAAGGTTATTTATTACTAAAAATCAATCAATCAACTTATTACTAAGAATCAATCAATCAATAGACTAGATAATCAATGATACACTATTAAATCTATCAGTTCAATGAATCAGTAAATTAGTGGTGATTTAATAATTTATTATTATACTATCATATTATAAATCAATTATTATAGACGAAGCATTAACTATAAATATTTGGTCTTGAGGTACTGAAATAGTGGAGGTAGTATAGTATTGGAGGTTTGTGACATAAAGTTCCTTTGTTTTTCCTTAGAGCCATGCTTTTTGGTTTTTCTTTTCTTTTGTTTTTGTTTTAAAGAGGAAGCGTTGCTGTTTGATAGATTTGAATGGAGAAGATTTGAATGAGCTCACCAATCATCTATTTTGGAGTTTGGAAAGGATGAAATTTGGGCGGGGGTTTAGTGGAAGTTGTCCAATCAGCTGAGTGGGAATTTAAATTCAAGCTGACTAATCTTCCCTTTAGCAACCTCCATCTGAAGGAACGTAAGAAACATACTGAAGACACATACAATCCCAACGCTTAGGCCAGCCCCTCATTGGCTCCATCAGACTTCTTCAGGATAAGGGAAGACCCCATACCCCCTCACGGTTTTCCTTCCTGGACTTAGCACATCCTCTTTGGGGCAATCACAATCACAACCTAGGCAGGAACTTCAATCTGCATATAGAAACATCATAGTCCACTTGTCATAGCAATAGTTGTATAACTCTAATGTCGCAGCTTACCTTCAACCATTGTTCATGGTTGAGTGAATAAATCCTACCTCCAGCAAATGCTCATTCATGTTTATTCTGTATTATATGTTTATTCGTGACCAAGCTCAGAAAACCGGACCAAATACATTCTTGTTTAATAGTTTAGTTTATTGATTAGCTGATAGGCCATATCAATATACAGAAGTCCAAGTACAAATTATTAATAAAATGCTATAAAAACCATTTAAAATGAAATTGGAGTTAATTTGATATAAAGATAAATAAAATAAGATAAAATTATATTTCAATATCACCCCTACAATCTACCCCAATCAGCCCCACATATACCAATCTTAGCTGAACCATTTCATTCAAGTACTATGCCATATCAAACGTTGTTTTCAAATTCTGGCCACACATAACTTATATCGTTTTAATGTGGGGTCCCCAATCATTTAATGTATGAACCAAGCCACCTGTCTCTCACCCTCTTATACAAGCAACAGTCCAATAGGAGGTGAGCCAAGTCTTCTACTTCCGCCACTCAGCAAATTCAAATGCATTCAATATATGGTGTAGAATGGTATCTCCTATATCTGATCATTGGACCAAGCTCTAAAGTGTTTTGGCAGTTGTAACTTTAAACAGCTGTCTATTTGAAAGGTTTTATATTTATGTTATATTTCAAGTTATCAGCCTTACTAAGTCCCAAAGGTGCTTTTTCAAGAGGCAACTGGACTTTCTTGGTTTTCTTTGACGATGTTTTGCTTCTCATCCAAGAAGTTTCTTCCGTTCTGACTGGAAGGTGGGGAATGGAAGGATTTATACTCCTTGCAGACAGCTGGTCATTTGCGCTTCTTTGGAGTATTGTTGAGGACACTTGGAGGTTTGTCTGTGTCCTCAGGGTCTTTAAAAGGATGCAAATGCAGCCCCAGCATCCAGTCAGAGCGGAAGAAGCTTCTTGGGTGAGAAGCGAGATATCTTCAAAGAAAAACGAGAAAGTCCAGTTGCCTCCTGAAAAAGGCACCTTTGGGACAAACATCCCCTGGATGACTGAGAATCTTCATTGACATTCAGCCTTACTTAGAGTAGCTATATCATTTGGTGCTTCTATGTCCATGATTCTTTGAACAACTCTTTTTTTAAAACTTGTTCTCCTGTTACACAAGAGACAGGAAGGCCACAGCTTCTTACAAAGTTTGTCAGTTTCGTTGGGCCTTGGGTAACTGTGATTCTTTCATTTAAGCAGTAAATTCAAATGAGCTTTTGTGCTAAGTATACTCCATTGATGATGGCAAACCCAAGATCCAGTCTTGGAAAAAGTTATACAAAGGTGTTGTTCAGTTGGTTCCCCATCTAACTGCCATCTATGCCTCTGATGATGGTTTTCAAACACCATAATTTTTATTTAGATTTAGCAATGGTTAATACTTATTGTTCTGCTTATTATTACTCCTTGGATGGGTATAAATCAGACAGAGCAACTCCACAAAGCATCCATACAAATTCTTTTTATTGGTTCATCAGGAATTCTTACCAACTCACAGTTATGATGAGGTTCTTCTTAATGTCCAGTCCTTTGCATGTCTGCATTATGGTGTAGAAATATAATAAACTCTCATCCCCATGATGATTGAAGCAGCTGCATGGTAATGGATTCAGGCAAGAGGGAGGGAGCCTCCCCCAACCCAACAAGGGTCAATTTGGTGACCAATCAGGATTACAGATGTGACCACAAGACATGGACTGCATTTCCCAGGATACCTTAACTATATTTACCATGATGCATTC